TACGTTAGAACCTTGTGGTGCCGTGTAGATGAAATATACATCAAGCAACAAAAGCATGGTTATTAAGAACCCCAGTGGCAGGAGGTTTAAATTTGGGACCACCGAACTTGATCTCCAAGTTGGAAGGGACATTTGCAACCAGGCCTCTGCATAACATGTCCACCCGCGCTGCCCGGATTTGCCTTATTAACAACTCCCTTCACGGCGTTTGACTGTATAAGGATGATACGCATGCATAGGTTTTATTGATAGGTAAGGTTTAAAACTACTATAGAGTTTTTTATTATTATTTTTGCGGGAAGAAGCGAGATCCTGGGAACGAGCTGTTCCAGTTACTATAACAACCGAGCTACAGGAAAAAATCGTGCGTAGACTACAAGACAAAGGAGTTTAGTTGTAATCAGACTGTAATGAAATCCAAACTGTAGAGACAAATCAGTGATGAAAGTTATCAACCGCGAATAATTTACGGACCTATAAAGGTTAAAGAATACATTTACCACGAGAACAGTTTACTTCAGGACACAAAACTAAACAAATAACCGTAAATAAAATGAAATTTGTGTATTAACTTAACATCAACTCATAAATTTAAAAGCTTTTAAAAAATTATATCACTTTCTATCCTACTTGCCTTCGAATACGTAACAATTTAAATAAATGTAGGCTTAATTACGGCACATATACGGTGAATTAATGTTCTGACGTGAACCAAAGCAAAAGATGTCAAATATTAACTGTAAGGGGGCTAAAATGTCTTCGTTGACGTTTTTTTTTTTCAGCGAGTGAGCTTGTTCAACTTACCGACACTTCATTCATGGTTATATCTACAATGCTCCCAACCACTATAATGAAGTCAAACAGATTCCATCGATCTATAAAGTAGTTCTGTACAAGAGAGATACAAGCAACTATTAGTTCACTGAGGTCTTAATCTTATGTAGTTTTTGTTTCTTAAGTAGCTTTTCAATAAATTTTAAAAACGTTTCTTTTTTGATTTTTTTAATTGTAACTGTTCTTATATTTCTTAGAGGGCCATAATGTCATCAGTCTTATAGATATTACGTGTCACCCTCGTAAAGTAAAGTTTGATTAATTGAAAGATAGTTCGATTGATCGATCCTTAGATCACCACAAAATCCAAATCCCAATCCTAGCTCGCACGTAAGAGGTTAGTAAGAGGTATATATGTGATTGGTGGGCGCCCCTAGTCTTCTTGCCAGGTGCGTCAAATTGAGTCGTCACGCAACGTTCATCGCCAGAGACGGGCTACGTTGCGTGACACCCTACAATTACATAACAATCCCCCATACTATAAATGCTACTCTTACCTTCGGTTTAAAAGCTACGAGCTTGAGTATACATTCCAGAAGAAAAACTGCAGTGAAGCCTATGTTGAAGCCATCTAGCACTCGAGTGTACAATTTAGGTTCTTGGTAATACTGACAAGAAACACGTTCACAAATTAACCAGATTTTAGTAAACGTACCTTCGTCTCTACCTTCTTTTTCTCTAAATTGTGTGCACGAAAAAAGTTAGAGGTGGCCTAAAGCAAGCTTAAGTTAGAATGCAATAAGAAAAATGTGGCCACCACAAATGTGTGCGTGACTTTGTCATTTGTTACGTGACTTTGTGTTGGTTGCGTGACTTTCTTATTGGTTGCGTGACTTTGTCATTTGTTGCGTGACTTTGTTATTTGTTGCGTGGCTTTATTACTTGTTGCGTGACTTTGCTATTTGTTGCATGGTCGCATAACAAATAATCTTGATCTCCTTACCTGCATCATCAAAACCACTGTGTTACACACAATAAACGCAAAGATGAGGTACTCAAATGCCTGCGACGTCACCACACGCCATATATGGAACTGGAGACGATTGTTGGGAATGTAGCGTCTCAAGGGTTTGGCTTTGAGAGCAAACTCGATACACTGGCGCTAATGAAGCAGAACA